GGGAGTATCTTCATCAGCTGCCGTGTTGGATTTGCCATGGGAAGAGTTTTGGTCTGAGTGTTAACCCTGATGGGGCAAGACAGGCTCAATGTCCCCAGGTGATGGCCAGAGACTGGACAGCCTGGCACCAGTCCCACTTGTCCCTGCCATCCTGGTGGAGAGGGAGAGGTTGGCTCATGGAGAGCTACCTGGCACACGTGCACACACCCCCGCACGGTAGCTGAGCTCAGCTAAGAGGATTACAGCCCCATTAAGTGATGTTAACATTAACGTGCTGGCTATAGGTAAGCAGCCTCACGAGCAGCAGGAGTGGCGGGGAGCTCCAAGGTCCTGCCTGCATCATTTCCTCATCGTGGGAGGCTGCCTGCAGGAGCAGGGCCAAGGGATGACCCAAACATCCCATCCTTGCTCTGTCTCTGAAGCAGCAGAAAGTCATTAAGAGCAGCCAAGCTTCATTTTGCAGTAATGAGCTCAGTGGGGGCTCTGAGAGGGGAGGTACAAAGTCAGCTGGAGGCTCTCGGAGAAGACCCCAGTGCGGATATGGGGCTGTCATCCCAGCACTCCCTGTAGTGCTGCAGGCTGGGCATGTCCTTATTTTAACACTTATAGTGACGCTGCTGAATTTTCTCTTTTGTCCCTCCTGTTCCCGCCATCGTGGCTGCCACCAAATGCAGCAGGAACTGCCAGCCCGCACCAATGGCTCAGCACCCACTGCCCCGGCACTTGCCCGTGATGCCCTCCACACCAAGATGGAGCAGCTGGAGGAGCAGCTCCTTTCCAAGATCCTGACCCTGCAGAAGGAGCGCCAGGCTGCCAGCACTGACCGCAGCCAGCAGCAGCACAACATCGAGAAGGAGCTGAACTCCCTCCAGAACCGGGTGACGGAGCTGGAGCACGGTGAGTCCTGCCCAGCGACGATGGAGCTGGGGCGGAGGGCTCCTACCCTGAGGTACATCACCAGGAGAGCCCTAGGACGGGTCACCCTCATCCCAATTACAGGTGCTGACCTTCCTCTCTCCTCCCCATCCTTGATATGTAGGACCACTGGGCTATAGCCCTCCTGATGCCTTCAAGGTCACCATCCCAGTGCAGAACAACTACATGTATGCCCGCGTGAAGAAAAGCCTGCCGGAGCTGTACGCCTTCACCATCTGCATGTGGCTGAAGTCCAAGGCCCTGGCAGGCATTGGCACCCCATTCTCCTACTCTGTCCCGAGCCAAGCCAACGAGATCGTGCTGTTGGAGTGGGGCACTAACCCCCTGGAGCTGCTCATCAATGACAAGGTCAGCACAGTTGCAGGAGGGGCAGGAGAGAAAACCCTGCCCGTATTTTCCCTGCTTCAATCCCCCTAGGAAATGACATTCCTGGGGGCACTGGTGTGGGGGAGCTGGGAGGAAGGGGCCCTAGGTTTGTGGTGGGAGGCAGGAGGATTGGCTCACTGGGGTGAGTTCTGAGAGGGAGAAGCAGCACATATGAATGTCTGTAGATTGTGGGATGCCATGGGGGTGCACTGCTTGCTCTGCAAAGGGCTGGGGAGATCCTGGGGTCCCCCAGCAGTCCTGTCAAGCACTGGGATCTTGCTCTTCTCTCAAAGGTTGCCCAGCTGCCACTGAGTCTGAAGGACAAGGCCTGGCACCACGTCTGCGTGGCATGGACCACCCGGGACGGCAAGTGGTCAGCGTACCAGGATGGTGAGCAGCGGGGTGCCGGTGAGAACCTGGCCTCCTGGCATTCCATCAGGCCCCAGGGCATCATCATCCTGGGTCAGGAGCAGGTAGGTACCAGTTTGACACCAAGAGCTGCCAGTTAGCATCTCTTTAGTGGGAATTGGCTGGGGGGAAAAGCCCCCAAATGGGGCGAGGGGAGGGGGCAGTGTGGGCAGGGCAGTTGGCTCTCCTGCCTGTTCATCCAGCCTCCAGGCTGGCCGTGTCCCCTCATTGTCTTCTCCTCCCTCTCCCTATCCCTTTGGCCTCCCTGCCTTGTCTTGAATCTCTTCTATGCATTCATCCCCTCGCCTCCTTGCCATCAAGCACCTTGCTCTGCTTCTCCTCAGACCTTTCCCTCCCCCTTGCCATTTCCCACTGGACGCACGTTCCTCCTTTTCTCTTCATCCCTGTCCAATCACCTCTCCTGCTCTTTCCCAGGACACCCTGGGGGGCCGCTTTGACGCCACACAGGCCTTCGTGGGAGAGCTGGCGCAGTTTGGCGTGTGGGACCACATGCTGGCGCCAGCAGAGATCCTGGCCTTGGCTAACTGCACCTCCCACCTCCAAGGGAATGTGATCCAGTGGGATGACCAGGCGGTGGAGGTCTTTGGAGGTGCCAGCAAGGCGGGCTTTGCCGCCTGCGAGGAAGGGAGGAAGGCATGAGTGGCCCCCAGCCCTCTCCCCAGCGCCATGGAGCCCGGTGGCAGCCCCGAAGCAGGGAGCCCCTTTCTCCCCTCCCAGACCAGTAAGCCTTGCCGGGGCAATGCTTGAGCCCCCTGTGCTGGTGTCCCAGGAGGGAGAGGGGCCCCTGGAAGCCTCCCTGTTGTCCCTGTGCTGGTGCTGTGGCTTATCCTCATTCCTGGCAGGCTGGCTCCTGAGTCTCATCTTGCCCCACTTCTGTTTTGGGTGGAACTCGCTGTACCTGCAGGTGTCCTTGGTACGGTGAGGGTCCTCACCTTGTCAGACCTCATGGGGAGTGGGAAGGAGAACTCCATCTACCTTGAGTGCAGTCCAGCCTCAGTGGGATGCCAGGGTGCAGGCATCACCTGAACACATCCCCTTTCCTTATTTATTTCTCGCAACCTCGCTGTACAGTTTTATGAGCCCGCATTCCAGGATCTCACCTCCAGCCCCATCCTTCTCCTGCTGCCCTGGTTTTTCACATGTGGCCCCAGGGAAGCTGAGGGAGAATGGCAGAGATTCAGTAGCACAGCACTTACCCCCCTGCACCCCTTTTCCTGCCTCTGCTGCCTGTTTGGGCAGGGCTGCCCAAAGGGAGCCAGGCTTTTGAGGCAGAGGGAAGAGAGCACTCCCCACCACCTCCAAGCTGGGGGATGCATCAGCCACCAAGGGAATGGGGGGAAAGGGGCAAAGCATCTCCCCCAGCGCTGGCCGAGGGGGAAAGAGTGCAGCACTGCCATTGAAGGGAACAAAAGCAGGAAAAATAGATAGAGGATGGTGGTGGTCCAAGGAGCCCTGCCATCCATCCCCCAATTTTTTGGTACTGGATTGGGCTACTGCCCTTGGTTCCACCCAGCTACCCTTCTTTAGCTGCTCCTTGCCAGGAACAGGGCTGCCACTGGCCTTGAAGCTGGGAGGGTGAAAGAGCAGGCTGGTGTTTTCCCTGTGGAGTGCCTGAGAATACGCTGTTTCCACATTGCGTGGTCACCAACATCTTGATATGCGAGTGTGTGTATGTGCACGTGTGTGTGTGTCTGGGGGTGGGGTGGGAGGGTTATTTCGGGGCTCTCATGGTTGCTCAATGCAGTGTTCAGCTTCCAGTGTTCCCCCTATCCCAAGTCCCACTCTGGGTGACAGCTGCCCCCTCCCCTGGGGGAGGCAAAGCTGGCAGAAGGGACAGCCCCGCCACCCCCATCCCCCTGCCCAGGGTCTCTGCCAGTGCTGGGGTGGCTCAGCCCACTGGGGATGACACGGTGGGGATGGGAGCAGCCCCTGTGCCAAGTGGGAACACTGTGACCTTCGTGCACCCTGAGGAGCTGCCCCCTCTCCCTCGCTCGCTCACGCGCTTTCTCTAATGCACGTTTGTGAAAAGGGCCCCTGACGTGTGCCCGTGTTGGGACGTTTCTTTTGTAAAGCTGATCGTGAACAATAAAGGTGATGTTTTCTGTTCGAGCCTCCTGTGGAGTGCGAGGTTGCTGGGGGATGGACTGGACTGGTCAGCCTGAGATGAGGTGACCTTCCCCAGGGAGCTTAGGGTTGCATCACTGAAGGGAGTCGGCCAGGCCCACCAGTGGCATTACAGGAATATCATCACAGGGGTTTGGTATTGTTGCCCCAGAGGGGCAGGGGATGGTGGCACAGTCTGGCTGCCTTTGATCTACCCCACTGCAGAGCAGTATGGGGTACAGGCTGCTGCTGCTGGGGCATGAGGGCTGGAGGAAACACCTCTCCATGGAGGGAAGAAGAAACAAGTGAGAAATCCTGGCCTCTAGGTCAGAGCATGATAGCTTGGAACTCACATTGAGTGTAAATCTAATTAAGTACTAGTAATGAGTTTCTGACCTAGCTAGGCACAAGATAGTTCAGGTATGGCTCTTGGAGCTCCTGTTGTAGAACAATTCATGACCAGGTCTGCATGGTGCTTTTGCCTCTCAGTGGGTCCTGCTCCAGCTATGAAAGGCACAGCTCCCCCAATATTTGGGGGAAACAGAGCACAAAGCCCAAGTACTGAGTTTCCTCATTGTTGGCATGCTGATGGGATCTCCTCTCTGAGTCAGAGTTGCCCTCCCACCACTTCTCCCTCTGGAGGGTATTTAATGCCATAAAAGAAAGGCTGGCACTCTCACCTTCAGCACATCTTCACAAAATTGAGGGCTGGTTTTGAAGAGAAAGTATGTACTTCAGCTGGAACATTGGTTCAAGGGCCTTGCCAAGCTGGAGGCTCACATCCCCATCACTAAGAGGAGAGGGTTCAACAGGTGCCATCTGCTCATGTGCCCAAATAACAGCAGCATAATTAAGGAGCGCAACATTTTTTAGAGGAGGAAATGTCAAAAAACACAAATGGGATCATAAACTCAGAAAGAGGTTAAATGGGGAAGGAAACTGGTCCAGAAGACCCTCCTATCAAAGCTGAAGAAGCACTGTGAGAGGACCCTTGGGGCTGCTGGCCAAGGCAGGAGAAACGTGAGAGGATGAGCAGGAATGGAAACAGCCTGGCCGCTGGCAAAACACCCATCTCCTCTGGAGCCTGGAAACCCAGCCCACGTTGAAACTGTGTAAATCCTCTCCAGAAAAGCAGGAAAAAAGGGGACACCAGGAGATGCTTGAGCAGGGCCTTTGGTGCTGCCCTCCTCACCTCTGCCAAATGATGCTGGCATGATCCTAATCCTAGCCGTGTCCCCAGGATGTGGATCTGTCACTTCTGGAACAGGAGAAAGGGGGGAGCCCAGTGGCAGAGCTTCTGCAGGGTGAGCTCCTCTCCCCCAGAGGCTCACAGACAGTTAGTCAGATCTGGGGGCACACGGAAAACTTGGTAGAATTTTCCCAAACCTTTTAAAAGCTTCCAGCAAATGGAAGCCTCCACATAAGGCTCTTCAGGAAACAAAGGCATTATGGAGAGATTAGAAACTGGATGGGAGACACAAATGAAGAGCAGAAATAAATATTTTATTTCCATCCTGGCTCTCTGCAGGAAGCAATGTCTGCTTCTTACCCGTCTGAGGAGGAGGAGAGCAAGATGAGACCATTTCTTTTCAGTAAGCCGAGCCTTGCAAGAGCTGCAAACCTGCAACAGGGCTTAAAAGGTAGAGGAGATGACAAATCAATAGCTTTGCTGGCTGCAAGGAGTAATTACAATGACTTACACATCTTGCTTGCTTCTCAATTAACCAGGAGCACTCAGGAGTGTCTCTCTAAGGGCAGCTGGTTGGAAAACAACATGTTGTGCACAGAAGAGATGAGGAACAACAAAGTCAGCCTTGAGGGAAAGAGGAGGGTAAGGAAGGAAATATTTAACAGTGCCGTGGAGAAGGTTTTGTGCTTGTGGCAGGTACTTCAGCTGGTTGGCTGTGTTGTGTCCAGATATCCAGGATGGGGGGAAAAGGAGGAGGGCACCCAAGAGCTGGGCAGTGCAGGGCAGGGGCACCGCTGGGCTGTGGCAGTTCAGCAGGAGCTGGAACAAGAGGAGATGTTGTGGGAGACAGGCAGGTGTGATGGATGCCACCCACGTGCTGTCCTCTACACCAAGGGGACATAGATGTGCCAGATGCTCTGGCACGCTTCGAGGAGAGGAAGGGAACTGCCATTTCCTTCCCCAGTCTGCAGGACCCGCTGCTGAAAGGCTTTCTGCTAGCCAAGGGCTTAGCCAGACTCAGATACCACCCATCCCACACTCCCAAAGGGTTTTGTCTGGCAGTGTTTGAAAAGAAAATGCTGACATTTATGAACCCCTCCAGCCCCTGCCCCTCTTTCCAGAGCGCACCACTGGCTATGCAGGCTCTGCCTTCCCAGGGACATGGGCAATCCTGGGACCCCCAACTTCAGAGCGGGCTTTGGGGATCTTCTGTGCTCCCCAATACCTGCAACCTCAGCAGAGTTTGCATGTCACGGCTCCCTGCAGTGTGTCAGCCTCCTGGTGCCCTCAAACGAGGTCAAGCCAGCCAATACTTGTCCCCAGGAGGTGACTTCCAAAGTCCCCACTACTGCTCTGCCCTAACAATGGGGCGCTGCCTAATTGCCTCCTTTCACCTTCCTGTCCTGCTGGGAGCTTCGCTTGCTCCCTCCTAGAGCTGGGAAGGCTCATTAGGACTTGTGCAGTGATCACACAGGGAATGCACCACGATTCCGGAGCATCTGGCACAGAAACAGCCCCCGCACGGCTGCTAGTGCTGCAGCAACAGACCTTACAAACAGTAGCTGTCATTACTAGAGGTAGTAGCTATGGGATCACATGGAGCACTATGTTTCCTAGCAGACCAGGGTAGCAGGCTGTCCCAAAGCAAGCTGCCCTGTCCTCTGGCACAGAGGCTGAGCTGCTCCCAGCTGACACCCATTCCTGCACACCAGTGTCCCCATCTCTGGCTTCCCTCAGCTCAGCATGCTGGGGGTTCTGATCCCGGTGAAATGTGGCTTCAGCAATCCCACAGAGCCTCCTGAAAGCTGCCTCCACACCATCCTGGGGCAGCTGCAGGACACACCTTGGTGTGACCTAAGTCCCCAGCCTTGGCCCTCTGTTACTATCCAGTGTGGTGTGGAGCAGTGCCCCGTCCCTGGGCTGTGGCTGCCATGGACAGCAAGCTCCTGTCCCCCTGCTTTACCACAAAGAGGAGATGGGGCACGGCAGAGCCTGTGCCCACAGGGATGATGGGGAAGTCCCAAAACCCAGCCAGAAGCAGGTCAGGAAAGAAAGAAAGAAAAGAAAGATGTTCTCCACCTGATGAAGAGTCGGCCTGCTGTCTGGTTAATGAAGATGACTAAAACAAAGCATGAGGCAGTATATTTACTACATATATGTATATTTTGCAGGCAGTGGTTGCTTTTCTGTGCTCAGCTAAGGACGACAACACACCCTCATGTCAGAAGGCAAATGGTACTTTGTTTCAACACATTTCACCGTGGCTGCTGAAAACAAAGGGATCAAAGAGTTTCCACCTCTGATTATGTGGCAAATAAGGCATGACCAGCCAGGGCAAAGCAACAATTCCAGTTCCCTACAGACCCACAGGGGTTAACCTACAGAAGGCTACCTGGTCCACTAGTTTTGGAAACTAAAGATCAGGTGAGGCACTGTCTGTGCCGTCAGAGCCAGCAGCAAAAAGAGCAGTACACATAACCTTTGCTGGCTCAACAAGGCTCTCACTGGTTTGCAGAGTTGTACAGAGGCAGCCTGTGGAAACCCTGCACTTGAGGGTCCAGAAACCAACTGCTCACATTTTGTTAAGCCACAGTAGATGGAGGCAGGCCAGCAGAACGCTCTCCTTCCTCAGGAGGCATCTCTATCTTGCAGCCCCACCATATCACCCACCACAATCACAAAAACATTGTTTTTCTTATCTTTGGCCCGGTATAATTTTTCTTTGGCCGTTTTCCTTTAGCTTCTCACCTTGGAGCCACTGATGAATAATCCTCACAAGCAGTCCCAACATTCCCTGAGGGAAACACTCCTGGGGGGGTCACACTGATCAGAACCAAAGCACGTTTAGCTGAACCCAGAATCACACAGACAAGCGTGCTCCCCCCTGCCCCACGCTCGGAGGCACATGCACACAAACACACCAGCTCACACTCACTTGCTGCTTGGTAGTAAAAGTGGGTGAACTACACAGGGATTAAAGCATTAAAAAAAACATAGCGAGAACACAGTGCTTGAAAGCGCCGCGTCCCTGGAGAGATTAGAGTAACTGCCTGGAGATAAAGTAATGATGATGGAAAGATCTTCTTCCTCACAGAGATTCTCTTCCTAATTATCTTGTCTGAAAAGAAAAAATGATGATCTACCTGCTTTTATCTGTCTCTTGACAATTTTAGCTCTGCGCCTGTCTTGTTGCAAGAGGCCCAAAAGAGGAAGGAGAAGGAATTAGCCCAGGAGGCAGGAATGGTAGGAGAACGAGTGGCACAGGAGGCAGTGCTTCATTTTTGTCACCACCAGCAGCGACAGAAAAGTAAAATATGAATGATCACTGCAGCTTTGTCTTTGCAAGCCCAAAGGCAGCTTCCCTGCCCCCAGCACTGCTCTGTCAGGCAAAGGACAGGCAGGAGGTCGGATCCACTGCTGAACCTGTGGAAGAGATTAACAGGGTGCTGTTCTCCCCATGATCACAGGGCAGAGCTTGGTGCTATGGTGAGGGAAGAGGACTCCTGAGCTGGCAGGGGCAGGAGAGTGCCCAGATTGTTCCTCCCCCACTCTTTTCCTTCTCAAACAGCTGGAAAGCAAATTCTTTCAGCAGGCAGCGAGCAGAAAGAACGTTTCAAATACACACCAGCCACAAGCACCACATGAAAAATCAGACCCTTGAGCCACTCTGCAAGACAAGGATGGCCACTGATCAAAAACCAGGCATCGCATCCACCAGCTGGGGCTTTGCACAGGAGAAGCCTTTCCCTTGGTATTATCTTGGAGCTAGCTGCTTCTCCATCTTTGTTAATTTCAGATGAATGCAACCCTAGACTTCCCTGAAAACCATTTAAGCCCTGGTTTAGAGGCAATTGGTGTTTGGCTAGCAGGGTACAGAGACAACAAAGGGTTTGTAGGAAGCCCAGAGCCAAGAAAAACCTCAAAACAGACATTACAAGCATAAAGCTATGGAGGGTGGGAGGGAGGTGATTTTTTTTCCACGGGGATGGAGGCTGGTGGTATAGGAGCTGTTTGCAAACTCATGATTCATCCCCACAGCATCACTTTCTCCTTCTTTGCACTCCTGTTGACATGCAAACATGAGCTGTTGCCTTTCCCACACAATGAGAACTGTGTCCAGTTCTGGAGCCCCCAGCTCAGGAAGGACACTGAGGTGCTGGGGCATGTCCAGAGAAGGGCAACGGAGCTGCTGAAGGGTCTGGAGCACAGATCCTGTGAGGAGCAGCTGAGGCAGCTGGTGTTGTTCAGCCTGGAGAGGGGGAGGCTCAGGCACCTGGTCACTCTCCAATTCCCTGAGAGGAGGCTGTGGCTAAGCGAGGGTCAGCCTTTTCTCCCAGGCAACCAGACAGGACAAGAGGACATAGTCACAGGCTGCACCGGCGGAGGTTCAGGCTGGATATTAGCAGGATTTTTTTCACAGAGAGTTATTAGACACTGTTATGGGCTGCCCAGGGCGCTGGTGGAGTCACGGTCCCGGGGGGTGTTAAGGAGAGACTGGAGCGGCACTGGTGCCACGGTCCGGCTGACACGGCGGCGTTCGGCACAGCCCGCACCCCATCTCAGAGGGCTCCTGACCTGACTCTGTGCCTTAAATAAACCAAACTGCCCCAAATCGCTCCTTGTTCTTATGGTTATCCTTGTTGTTTTAAAGAAATAATACCTAGAACTAGGCCCCTAAGGGGTTTTAAGTCCGAAAACTATTAATCTGCCGGACAGCAGGCTGGGGCCGGGCGGGGCGGCACAGCACAGGCGCTCCGCGGCCACCCCAGCGCCCCAAGGCCCCGCGCGGCGGCCGGCAGGAAGGCAGCCAATCAGACGCGCCGAGCGGCGCGCCCCGTCCAATGGGCGCGGAGGGGGCGGGACTTCCCGCGCCGGTTGCTATGAGAAGCGCGGCTCTTCCTTAGCAACGGCGCCGGGCCGCGGCGGCCGCGCAGGTGAGGCCGGCCCGGAGCCCCGCGGCGCCGCTGGCCCAGCGCTTCCTCCGCGGGGACGCGGCGGCGGGGCTGCTGAGGGTGTGCGGGCCGCTCGGGCCTCCTTCCGCTGCCTCACTGCCTCGGGCTGTGGCCGCGGGCACGCCCCGGGCTGGGGGTGGGTATTGAAGTGGCGGCGGCCAGGCGGGGGTTCTGTCCTGCGGAGGTCGTGGTTTGCCTTCCACGGCCCCCGTGTGACGGGTGGTGGTCTGATGCTTTAGCCATGAGCCCTGTGTACGTGGCATAAGTGATTGGTGTATCGCCTGACACCGTGTTGAATTCGTTTTCCTTTTAATATGAGCTCACCCTTGCTCCCCTGGGTAGGAGAGGAAGATGCTTTGTTGTGGGTGAAGGAACCAGAGGGAGGACGGCGGTGAAATGCTCTGAATGTCTCAGTCAGTGCTGTGCCTCTGCGTTGTAGAGGCAGGCTAGTGATGAGGCTCTGAGGCACGTCCAGCGTTTCCCATATGGCCCTCCCCAGCTGACAAATGCTCGGGGATCTGAGGAGCAATTGCACAAACGAGACCAAGATGTTCCTGTTAAACATTTCCGTCCAGACGAGTACGCAGATTCTGTGCCTAAAATACTCCTACCCTTCTCTTGTCATGTGCAGTTTGAAACTTGCAGATAATAGTGTCCTGGGAAAATCCTTTTTGAATTAAACAGGATTGGTCGCAGCTGATAGATTGTTCTCTTGTCCTCTTCTGAAAGCTGTGCCTTGGCTCAGCTCTTCCCTCAAGCTCCATTGGTGCTTCTGGGAAGCACTGTGCTCCTCACTTATGGAAAAAAATACGGTTTAATAATTTGTTTGCATTAAAGGTTTATGAGCTAAGACTCAGGGGGGTGTGAAGGTGCTGTTGAGGAAAATGGCAAGTGAGTGAGATAGCATGATATTCTTGTAACAGTTTAATTTGCCTTTTGTTTTAATTGAAAGCCATCTGTCTCTTGCCCATGTTTGTTTTTGTTGAAGCAGTGTCCTCTAGGCCAAGGAGCGACTCCTGCTGAAGAGAGGAACACAGAGCCCTGTTCCTCTCAGCTGGCTGTGCCGCAGCACTTTGCTGAACTCCAGGTAGCCCCTCTGCCCTCCTTCCTGGAGTCTCTGTGGAAGGACCATGGAGGAAACTGAGGAGGAAAAAAAGGACGAGGCTGATTATAAAAGGCTTCACAGTTTTCCTCTGATTAGGGTATGGAGGGAGATGCATTACACATCTACCAATGTCAGAGATATGAAAATCTGCCTTCATTCTTACTGTCCTTCTCCTGCTGCATAGCTACTGTGAGAACATGTGTACTGCTGGTCCTGTGACCTCTCCTGGGGAAATCTAATAGCTCCAGTGTTCCCCATGACAGCCAGAGGAAGCCTGGGCCAAAGTGATCCATCGAACAGACTGAGAGCACACTGCCTTTGGAGCCCTCTCTTGCGATTTGGATGCAGCTTGCTTTTTGTCTGGAGCTGATGCAAAAGATCTTGCTAGCCAGCCATATAGCAGCAGCAGAAGAAAAGGCTGTGTAATTTAGATTTCTTTGTTAGTCATATAGCAATAATTAAGGACTGTGGTGGAAACAGTGTTAGTGTGTTTTCCCTTTATCTTATAGCAGAAAAACTGGCAAATGTCTTGATTTCCTTCTTTAAGCTGTGCTTACACAGTGCTAGTTTTCATGTAGGTAGGGAAGAATTCCTCATTGGCTGGAGGAGTACTTCACTTATAGTAAATAAGCCTTTTCAGATTTACTACATCTAAGCCCCTGATAGAGCCAATGCAGAAGTTAGAGCAATTTACTGTTGTCTTGTGTGCAGTTATTATTTTTCTGCTTAGTTGTCTTGTCTGTTTGCCCTTTGCAGCACTCAGACATGCCGGAGGAGATGCGTATAGAGACCATGGAGCTGTGTGTCACAGCGTGTGAGAAGCATGCCACCAACAATGAGGTACCAGCCACCTCCCAAAACGGGCAGCCTGCTGATACTGCAGCTCAGGGAACCTGCAGGAGCAGGGATAAGTGTGTAGGGCAGAGCAGAGTCAGGTCCTGACCTCCTATTACTCTCTGCACTGAGCTAGGGTAGAAGGAGGCAAGGAGCTTGGCTAGATCTCAGATTCAGTTCCTTTGGTCTGCAAGATCTATAATAGCACTTTGCAGAGATTAGTAGTGGTGCTGGCTCCCAGACCTTACCTCCTTGCTTATCCTGCCTTCTTGAGGCATGCTTCCACTCTGTTTATAAAATGCCTTGTGTCCGGAGGGCTTGGTTCAGAACTGCATGGAGTCTCTTGTTTTGGGGATGGGTACATGAAAGTCTGTTTTGTATTCCCTCTTGGCTTTAGGACCAATGATCAAGGGAAAACATACCTTGCTTCAATGGGCACCGCCTGTCACTGAAAAATCTTCCTCTCACTTTTTCTAGGATCAAGCAGGGTGTGATCTGGGAGAAGCAAGTCTTTTAAGAGTCAGCCTACTTTCAGTGTTTTGGTAATTAGCTGGAGAAAAAAAATGGACTCCTGTAAAAATAGCTGCAGCTTAGTGACCTGAATCTGCTCTCATGGTCACTGCAACCAGTATAACTCCAGCAGCATCTGAAGCAGAACTCTTATTTCAGACTGTGTGAACAACAGAAGTGATGCAGTTCTTTCATTTTTCCTAGCTGCTGGGCTGGAGGCTGCTGAGACCAGTTCTACCCTTGGGTTTACCTCTGGGGAGCTCCCAATTCCTGAGGTGCAGCTGCTGTACCTGTTGCCTATGGTTTGAGTAGACTTAAAGGGAGGAGAAGATTAGGGGGATGTTTGCATAAAACCTCTCTAGTTGCTTTGTCTCACCTTATGCTGTCTTCTTTAACATTCTCCAGAGCGCTGCCAAGATGATCAAAGAGACGATGGACAAGAAATTTGGGTCCTCCTGGCATGTGGTGATTGGGGAAGGTTTTGGCTTTGAGATCACTCACGAGGTGAAGAACCTGCTGTACATGTTCTTTGGTGGCAGTCTGGCTGTGTGCGTCTGGAAGTGCTCCTGACCCCTGGCTGGGCTCCAGACTTGCTGAATACAAGGGAATTCTTCCTGCTTTTGACAAGTTTTGTATGATCTGGAGGTGGGGCTTTATTTTTAATACTTAAATGTCAAGACTTCTTTTTTTCATACTGACGTAACAGTTCTGTGGGAAACATTAAGTTGGTGCGTGTGTGTGTATAAACTTGCTAAAGTGTCCTGTCCTTGCTTGTGGGATTTCTCATCTGTCTGGGGCTCTTTCCTTGGTGTTTGAGCTGGAGCAGGAGGGAAGTGAGGAATAGGTAATCTCACAACACACTGCACAGCAGTGCTAGCAGGAGAGAGTGAAACGAAAAAGGTGCCATCTAGCCCTATGGTTTTTTTAACTCCCCTTTATTCCACATAGTTTTCATCTCTCCTCTGCTTTCTCTGCTACCATGCAGTATGGCTCTGACCAGCACCTGTCTTTCCTCTCTCTGGATGCTGGTTATACATTCTTCCTTTTTTCTAAGATGTCTGTGCAGACCTGACAGCACCAAGGGTCTCCCTTCAGGCTGTCTGTGGAGGTGTGAGCCACAGGGAAGCAGTCCCGGCTTGCCCTTCCCTGCTGTTTTGGGAGGGTACAACAGCTGAGCTGCCTGGGTGTAGGAGGTTGCTATGCAAACTGCCCCCTCCTTTCTCACCCACAGCACACTGAGACAGCATGAAAACACAGGCAGCTGACGATGCCTGGGGAGTGGGTGAGAGCTCTTTTTAAGGCTCAGATGCCTCCCTGTCAGCTCCTGGGGGTGTTGCAAGTGCTGTGTACTTTCAGCATCTTGTTTGGAGGCTGACAGAGAAAGGAGGCTCCATGTGAAATATAACTTGGCCGTTAGAAACCTAATGTCTTTCTGGACTTGCATTCTTTTAGCCTGTTTTTTTTTAAAGCTGTTGGTGTTGGAGGATCGAATGAGCGTAACTATGTTACGTGTATGGCTTATTTATAAAACCTGGGAAACTGTGTTTTTACAATAAAAGTTTAGTAAAATGTCTTTGTGTGCATTTATGTAGGCAAAGTAGTTCAAGAAACATGGAAATAAGTAAGTCATGGTGTAGCAAAAGCAGAGGCCAGTGACAGAGTTTTGTCCTCCTGGTTTCCTGTGTGACTCTCATCTCCCTGTTCATTTCCTTTTACCAGTGCTAGCCACTGTGGTGAGGAGGGTTGCCGGGCCCATGGTGCTGCTGGCCACATCCCTCTGTCCAGGCAGCTGTCTAAGCAGTAGCAGCAAGGGAATGTAACTGTGTCTGCTGCCTCAAAAGTGTGCCTCAGCTCTGACTGTTGGAGTCTCATATTGTAGCTTTCTTAATTTTCAGATTTCCTCTCAGAATGTTGCCAGCTGACACCTCTAGTCCATAGTTAAGTCTGAAGGATCTTTCTGCATTAATGCCTGTGGTGGCTCAACCTTATTCCTTTTTCTGAACCTCAAGTGTTATGCTAGAGATGTCCTTTCTCAATTTCATTGTGTCAGGGAGCCAGGAATTGGAGTAATATGAAGACAACTAAGAATTATTTCAAATTTGGACCATCTGTGCTTGGCTGGGCCAGGGTAGGTTGGTACCATGATTCCTGCCCCATGATCAGGATTACTGTGCTGTGTGGAAAAGCCCAGATCCTCTGAGCTGTCTCATTGTGCAGTAGTTCTGTGTCCCTCCAGCTGGCTGCCTTTATGTGAAGATAGTGCTATTGACAACACTTTCTGCAGCTGGCAGGTGGAAAAGATTATTTCCTCTTCTGCAACTTTCTGTCTCTTTTAAATTCAGAGCAAGAGGTAAAGTCTTTGAAATGCCCCATGCTGGAGAGGGGTGATCCCATCAGCCATACCACAGTCACTTTTGTGCCTCTTTCACACTAATGAATAATTAACTGCTCTGTGCATATGCACAGGCACTGGTCATGGGCATCTCTGCAGGGTCGTGGTGACCTGCAGATGACCACAGGGAGCTGCTGACATCAGCACACAGTCTCTTGGACTTGCTGCTTGTTTATCTTCTTGGCCACCAGCTGACCAAAGCTAATGTCTCGGTGACCTGCAGTGGCAACAAGGGAAGGGTGAGTGGTCCCCAGTCTTCTCAAAGCCTGAGTGTGCAAACAGATTGAGGTGCAGCAAGTCAGCTCCTACACTGCCATTCTCACCAGGTAAGCGCAAGGTGGCTCACAGGAGAGTGGCAGGCTATTTTTATTCACAAGGGTAGCAGCTTTCCTACAGGAAGTCACCTTGAGGCAAACCTTTGTTGGCTGGTTTGCACTCCTGTCATTGGCATTGTACCTGAAAGCACAAGCCTCAGCCTCCCAAAGTGTGGCTGTGTGTCAGAGCCCCTGCCCTGAGGTGAACGTTCAGTCAGATCCATTGTCCTGCCTGTTGCAAGTTGAGCCACGCTTTGCTGGCCCCTGTGTGTTAGAACAAAGACTTTCACCCTCCTTTTGCTGTGGAGCTGGAACAGCTTTGGGCATACCTGTAATTTTCAGAGGAGTAAGGTTTATGGACCAGAGATGGAACCTTGTCCTGTGTTTTCCCACAAGAGACCCTTCTGTGGCTGATGAACCTGCTGGATTCAGTCCAAAGGAGGCCACTAAGATGATCAGAGGGCTGAAGCACACATCTGAAGCATGTGATGAACACATGCTGAGGGAGTTGGAGTTCTTCAGCCTGGGGAAGAGAAGGCTCTGGAGAGACCTTATACCAGTACCTAAAGGATGTCAACAGGAAAGCTGGAGAGGGACATTTTGGCACGGCCTGTTGTGATAGGACAAGGGTTAGAGGTTTTAAATTAAAAGAGGTTTGTTCTAGTTTGGATATAGGGAAGGGAAGAAGTCTTTTAGAATGAGGGTGGTGAAACATTGGAACACGTTGCCTAGAGAGTGGGGCGTGCCCCACCCCTGGATGAGGCTCTGAGCAATACAATCTAGTTCAAGGTACCCCATGTCATTGCAAGAACATTGGACTGGGTGACCCCTAAAGGTCCCTTCCAACCCAAACGATGATTCTATGAGGCGTTGGGGCCTCTAAGGCCTGTCTACTTTTCACTATAAAACTGCTCTCAGTTGCAGGAGGATTTTTCCTTATGGATTTTCAGTGGAAAGCTGGGAAAGTTGGCAACAGTTTGCTTGCTATTGTTTCCTTCTCATTTCTTGCCCCCCTGCATATTGCTGCCATTACCCATCAAAGCATCAGGCTGAGTCAGATGTAGAAAATGAGATGAAAAACGCAGGGTGATGGATGGGTGGCAGCCAAAATGACTCTTTCTATCCACCCGTCCCCTAAAGCTGCAATAGGAGCTCAGAGGCTGTGCCTCATGACTTCATCCCTCCCTGCTGAGGGGAGATGGGAACATCATTATCAGCTGCCGATGAGTCTTGATTTGGAGCCAGCAGTGAAAATGTCCTCGGATGTGGGGCTCCTCCTCCGCCCCAAGGGTGACTTGAACCTGCTGGGAAGATGGAGGAAGAGCTGGAGGGAGGAGATGAGAAGAAAGAGGTGTAAATTCGACTCTGTCTCTATGATGATGTCATGGCAACAAGTCAGGTGATCAGGGCACACTTTGAAGGTCTCCAGCCCTTCTCTGTTACTGCAGGCTCATGTCTGACTCGCTGAAAAATCTTTTGGTTAATATTTAATGCCAGCATTGAAGTGCTAAGGGTAGCAAATGCCTCACCTAAGCCCCCTGCCTTTGCTTTCCAATGGGATGCTAAATCAGGGTGAGGAGGTAGGATTGCAGATTTCATTAGCTGGGAATGGGACTAACAGTCACTAGGGTGGCTTCAGCCCATGGGGTCCCTGTGCCCATCTGACTGCAGGACATGAGAAGGAGGTTTCTATCCCCTCCAGCCCCATTTGGAGCTGGTTTGGGGCACTGGAATGAGGAGGTCTCCCTCTCTTCAGGGCTGGCTCTGGAATAATGAAACCTGTGGCTCTGCTCCGGGAGCTGAGCCCAGCTCTTTTGATGCGCTCAGTTAGTATACGGAGTTGGTGTTTTGGTTGGATGGTTGCTGTTTTTCTGAGCCATGACCTAATGATCCCATGTTCCAGCTACAGCCCCTCCTAGGGGCCTTCTGTCTGAAACGTGCGTCCGGACTGAATTCAGCCAACTTCCCGGAGCAAGACGCTGTGTTCTCCCACTCAGGGAAGCCATCTGCTCCCCTCCACCAGCTCCTTCTGCGGGGCTTCGCGCTCGCCAGCCGGGCTGGAGAGCTCTCCTCCTCCTCGCTTGCCCCGGCTCTGCTCGGCCATGTTGCTCGCAGCAGGCTCGGAACGCGGGGCTGGCGGAATCTGGGCCGCTGACGGTGCCAGCCGGAGGCGGTTTCCAGGCAACTGTCGCGCCGTGGGACACGCGAGCCAAGAACACCGGGGACAGCGCGTTCCCAGCGCGCCGCCTGCGAGGGGACCGAGGCACACACGGGAGGAGAGGGCACGCAGGGTGGCAGCAGAGGAGGGGGTCTCCAGAACAGCCCCTCCTGCCACTGATCATCATAACCCTCCCTGGCTGGGAGTGAGCATTTCCAAGCTGGCTGCTGGTGCATCTCACGACAAGGAAGAGCTACATGATGTATGCGATTTCACATGCCTTCTGCGTCCTTTGGAAGGGCAAAGAGAAAATAAACATTGTGCCAGACGGTACCACAGCCCCCAGACTTATTGCAGGTGGTCCTGTGCTTGTCTGTCCCTTATCAAATACAAAGCTCCATCCCTACAAGTCATGAACCATTTTTGTGCACACATCCCAGCTCTGTCTGCCTGGGTGTCACTGCAAAAGTGAATTTCTTGTAAAAAGAAATGCTTTTCCCTAGTCCTCCACAGCACTTGGTGGGTCCTACCGCCCCTCTGTGCTAATGCCCAAGGCAGTATCCCCACTCCTGCCTGCCTGCCTCCCCTACCTGCTTTAGGGGCCCTGGGAACATCCTTGCCCCTGAAACTCACCAGCCTGATAGCCCTTCCACTGCTAGCCTGGCATTTCCCCTCGCACCAATGTCAATGCTGACATCCCCTTTGTTTTATCCAGTTTGAGTGACTTTTGAAAGGGGGTTTGAGTACAACTGATTTTCAATGGATCAGGGAGGGTGATAAAAATTTATATGGCTGACCAATGGAAAAAAAAAAATTCTGGATTCTGAGAGTGCAGCTATGATGAACATGGGGAATGGGGCTACATAGTGCTTGACAGGGTGTGTGCTGCAGATGGACAGAACCATTTGAATGCTCTGTATTCAAGGAAATGTTCTGCAGCCCTGTGCAGGTGACAGAAAGACAGGGCAGTGGGGAGTCATCTGCAGCCATTGCTGTCCCTGAGCCAGCATTGCAGCTATTGATTTGGAGCTTACCCCATTCACTCTAACCTTGGCAGTGCCAGCTCGACCCTTATCAGTGCTGATAAACCTTGCCACAACCTCCTGTCCCATCCTGGTGGTGTCACACCAGGTGTCGTGGTGATAGGTCTTTCCTGCCACTCTGCCCGTGCATCAGTTGGTCTTTTGCTGCGATGCTCTAAATCCTGGAAACCTCTCTCCTATTTTTGCACAGAGGCTGCAGCCACATCAACATTTTTAACCCTGCGTTCATGCCCATCCCTTCCTGAGTGTTTTGTGTGAGGAAGGATGCAGTGGCGGATGCAAATGCTGTTCCAGAGGAAACTTAAAATCCGCTTTCTCTTTCTTCTGTTCTTGGCCCTTCTCGTGCACCTGGTGATGGATTTTGCTCTCCCCACAACCCACAGGTCCTGTGGCTGCGATACTAAAGCATCAAAAGCCACGGGTGTCCTGTCAGGCAGCCCCATGCCAGCCAGCCTCAAAAAGCTGAGCCTGCGAATCCTTCAGGATTTCAGTGGAAGCAACGGTTCCTTGGAGAAAAGTTCCCAGCCAGAGAGAGCGGGGCTGCACCTAAGGGCTGGAGAGCCAGGGGTCCAGCAGCAGCATGAAGAGGCAAATGCAGAGTGGACCAGGGGATCAAAGCTGGCAGCACTCTTCGAGCATCCTCTTTACAACATCCCAGTCCCAGAGGTGACAGAGAAAGACAAGCTGTTTATTGTCAACCCCATGGAGAAGTTCAGTCTGCGCAGCAGCGGGAGTGATGAATGGTGAGCAGCAAGCTTAACCCTAGTTTGCAATTGGGGGATATGTGGGTTTGAGGGGACAAGCAGCAGGGACCAAACATAGTTCCCTTCTGTAGATCAACATCCTACACCAGAAGGGCCTTGATTACTGAATATGCTGTTCTCATATCTCAAATCCTCTCCTAGCCCTGAATTTTTGGGCTACTACCCATAAGCTTGTAGCACACAGCAAAGCTAAAGGAGACTCTTGAATTATTAAATGTATTATGGATATCTATTAGGTGATCTCCTCAGCTTCTTCCCTTCCCCAATGCAGACTAGCCTGTAGTATCTCTGTCTGTATATGAGAAAGTCCTCCCTCACTCCAGATTTCTAAACAGTTTTATCTCCCTTTCTTGGTATGTTGGAGATGCAAAGCCTGAAATGTAGGTACCATTCCTATCCTGCATTTTGCACGATATTGCCTGACCTTGTTAGGTTTGGCTGTATGGTGAGCTCAGAGCTGACGGCTGCCTATTTTAATCTTTGAACTACTAACCTCTAATTAGGAGGGAAGATATTAAAAGCTTTAGCATTGTAACACAGAGCAGCTTCCTTACGGAAAGCACACCTTCCAAAAGTGGTGCCTGCTAGAACCGGGAAAGAATAAAAGCTGGCTTAAGAGCTGGTTTCCACAAATGGCCATTTGCCTTGTCTCTGAGGACCAGCTCTGGGTAGCCTTGGGTCTGCTTTGGTGAAATCAATGCACAGTCTGTGCTTTCCTAGTGAGAGACATGGATTCGGGTTAGAGATGCCTTGGGCTAACTGTCCCATTGCAGTGCCAGTGTGTGCTAGCACACAGGTGAGGCAGATACCCCCGGGGGCTCCCTTGAATGCCAGCAAACTGCAAATTTGCAGGATGCACAGGGGCAGGGATAGTGCTAACCCAAATCTATCCCCCTGGGGAAACCCACCCAAGGTGAATGGGTTGTTGAGGATGGGAGTTCAGGTCAGTGGTGGGGATGGCTGGGAAGTCCATGCTTCTCCACACGTGTACACACGTGTCCCCAGTAAGCACAGGGAGGGATGTAGCAGGCTATACTCCTGGGAGCCAACCCCTTAGGTAAAAACAGTGAGATGATCTGTTCCAGCAGGGAAATAAATGCATGGATGAGAGAAGCAGGATCAACCCAGGGATTTTCCTTGGGGGATGGAGGGAAGACACTGTGTTCAATCCAGCCATGCTGATGGGTCTTCCTTGCCACCAGCTTTGGGTGGGATCTGCCAGGTGCCAGGAGCCCTGTGGAGACCATATGGGGCAGGCAGTTCTGCAACCATGAAACCTGGAAGCCCTCCAGGGCTTGCTCTGGATTTTCTCCCCACCTCACCTTCCATGCACTGGCTCCCAGGAAGGGCCCGGGGACACGGGACCCATCCTGTCCCAACTAAAAGCTGTTGTCATTGTTGTTGGGGTGGTGGTGGCTGTCGGGCTGCAGGGTCAGCAGCAGTAAAGCCGAGACGCTCCTCCCGACAGGGAAGACAGCCTATGACACCTACCCCACCTGGCTCAAATTCCACATCGGCATCAACCGCTATGAGCTGTACCCCCGCCGGGACCCCCTGTTGCCCACGCTCCTCCGGGACTTGGCCACGCAAAGGATCATCAGCTCGGGTACCACCTCCCTGTCTGTACCCCTGTCCACACCCCTGCCCCGCTGCCTGCTGCCTGCCTCCCTCATCCCCATGTGCCTCCTTTCAGTCCAGAAGTCCGGCGGGACCCAGCTCAAGCTCATCATGACGTTCCCAAACTATGGGCAGGCCCTCTTCAAGCCCATGAAGTGAGTAGAGCCTGGGAGAACCCTATAACTCACCCACATGGTCCTGTTATGTAGTGAGGAGTGGCCAGAGGGGACCATGGAGGGAGAAATGGGGAAATGCTTCATGTGCTGCCTCGCTTCAGCACCTCCATCCCAAAACCGAGGCGAGCAGAATGGTCCGGTTTCCCTTTCCTTCCCTGGTGGTGCTTGCTGCAAACTGGATGCAGCTTGTGATGGGGTAGTGACCTCCAGTGGTGGAAAGAAGAAGGTGGTCCATGAGGACCATCCAGGAGCCTCCAGTCCATGAGGGCTTCCCCACCCCTTGAGTTGGTGGCAGGGGTTGTGTGGGAGCCTGGATAGGGGGCTTGGAGCCACCCACTCATCAGGAAATGACTGGAGGAGACTGGGTCTGGCTGTGTCTCCAGTGTCACAAGGGAACACAAGGTGAGTGGTAATTTGGAGTGACCCCATCCATGATGATTGCCCCCACCCACTGTCACCTCTCCTTCCAGGCAGACCCGAGACCAGGAGACCCCCATTGATTTCTTCTACTTCTCAGACTTTGAGCGGCACAATGCAGAGATTGCAGCCTTCCACCTGGACAGGTGAGCATAAGCTTTGCATCCAAGCCTGCCCTCCCATACTGGCAAAGCACCAGAGAAACTGCTCCTTCATCCCACCTCTCGCTCCGTGTTGTGAGGGATACCTGTGTCTCCTGTCAGTTTTAATAACTCACTACTATTAAACCAGCTGAGGTCAGTAAGAAATTATTCCAAGTTCTGTGTTTCAGAATCCTGGATTTCCGGCGAATTCCTCCAGTTTCTGGCCGTTTGGTCAACATAACAAAGGAAATTCGGGATATCACCACAGACAAGAAACTGGCCAAGACTTTCTTCATCTCCCCAGGTGAGCTTTCATGCTCTCCGTCCTCTCCCGTGGCCACCTGGATGCAGCTCACCTGGTGCTGGCTGCTGCTGCCCTGGCTCCCCCTGCACTCAGACAAACTATCCCATGGGGATTGTTCCAGCTCCCATGGGTACCCTGCACAGGCCTTTGCTCCTCACAGCCTCCCTTGCCATTGCTTTGCTGGTGGCACATGGCCAGAGTGCATGGAGCATTCTTCCCTGGCTGATTGCTGGACCACTCTGCCTGGGGGTACCTTCCTTCTCTTTGTCAACCTTTGTTTTGTCACCTGGCCAGCGGGTAACGTCTGCTTCTACGGGGAGTGCTCCTACTACTGCTCCACCGAGCACGCCGTCTGCGGCAAACCAGACCGGCTGGAGGGCTCCATGGCTGCCCTGCTCCCTGACAAGACCCTGGCCAAGCGCCGCTCCTGGCGCAGCCCCTGGCGCCGCTCCTACCACAAGAGCAAGAAGGCTGAGTGAGATGGGGCATGGGGAGTGTGGGGGCGTGGGCCAGCAGAGCCATGGGATGGGAGGGGGCTTCTCCACAGCCACTCTGATGGCCCCCTTGCCCTCCCCGGCCTCTGCCACCAGGTGGGAGCTGAACCCCAACTACTGCGATCAGGTGCGAGAGACACCGCCCTACGACAGCGGCCATCGCCTCCTCGACCTCATCGACATGGCGATCCTCGATTTCCTCATGGGTGAGCCCCTCTGTGCCTGTGCTGAGGGCTGTGGAGGTCCCTCAGGACCTAGAGGCCCAAATGGCTCCGTGTCCCATGGTATTATGTCCTGTGAAGTTTGTTGGCCAAACTCCTGTTCAGGCTGCAGTGAGCTGCAGTCTTTCACTGATAGCACGGGGCTGTGTCACTAGGGCATTTCCCAGGCAGAAGTCAAAGGTCAAGAGATTCCAGGGAGACGCCTGCTGAATACCCTGGACATGGGAAGCACCTTCCAGCACGCTCTCACATGCAGCTCCTGCAGAGCCAGAGGTGGAGATGATGCTAGCCAGACCTCTTGCTACCTCTCCTGTCCCTGGGCCATTTCTTCCTCCCTGCGCTGTTCTCTCACCAGCATCTGACTGGGAGAGCTTCCCATCTCCTCATTCCTGACCACCCAGCCATGCCTTTGCCATTCCTTCTGCTCCATTTGCCACTGTTGTCCCTCTGTGGGGCTGCTGGGGTGAGGAGCCTGGAGGCTGTGGGGTCTCTGCTCAGTTCCCCTGCATGGGCATGGCCACCAGATGGACAAGTTAGAGGTGCCTCCAACCCTTTTCCCTGGGCTCTGGGTTTCAGTCTCACACCAGAGGAGTGCTCTGTGTCTTTGCTCCCATCTTCCAGCCCACAACCTGATGCCAAATTTGTTGGCCCGCCACAGGCAACATGGACCGGCACCACTATGAGACCTTTGAGAAATTTGGGAATGACACTTTCCTGCTCCACCTGGACAATGGTCGCGGGTAAAGCTGGGGATTAGGGGGGAAGCAATCACAGCAGGGGGGTGGGGGGAGACCTCCAGTCTTGCTGAAATGCCGCCCTGACACATCCTTATGGGCTTCTCCCCACCCCCAGCTTCGGCACACACTCACGCGATGAACCGTCCATCCTGGCCCCTCTCCACCAATGCTGCAGGTAAGGGGCTGTCCCCACCCCGGATCTGCTGTTGGGGAGAGCCTCCTCCTGTTGAGACCTCTCCCTCCTCATCTCTGGCAGCATCAAGAAGTCAACTTACCTGCGGCTGCAGCTGCTGGCCACCCAGCCCTACCGCCTGAGCGACGTGCTGCGGGAGGCGCTGGCCGCAGATCCACTGGCCCCTGTCCTGGCTGAGCCCCACCTGCAGGCATTAGACCGGCGCCTGGAGAAGGTGCTGGTGGCGGTGGGACACTGCCTGGCCAGGGCAGCCCACCAGGAAAAGGTGCTGGTGGATGATGTGGGGCCATGGGTGTGACGGGGGCTGGTACCCTGCTGCGTTGGGCTGTTTTGGTGTGCTGCCGAGGGTGATGTGGGGTCGATGTGCAGCTCTGATTCTGTGTAGCGTCAGCTTTTGGTGATGCTGGAGCTGGTGGCGTGATGAACCAGGAAAGCAGGTTGTAAGGATAGGTGGGACAGGGAGGGAATTTAAATAAAAAGGTTGGCCTAGTGGAGAAGACATAAGCTGTGATCTTCCCCACCACGGCTGCTTTCCCAGCCCTGGCCTGTTCTTGCATGCCTGGACGTGTTACTTCAGCCCTCCAAAGACTTTTAGGAAAGGGTAGGGATTTTTCCTGCCTTTCCCCAGCAAGAACTGCCAAACTGCTGGCAACAGCTGGCAACCTCCTTCTGCCCCACCCCCACACCCAGCACGGTGATGCCCTGGTGACCCCCAAAAAGAGAGCTGAGACTCCCCACTGCTGGTGTGGGGAAAATGAGGCAGAAGCTCCCAGCTACACACCACTTATCTTTGCCCCAGTCTTCCCACACCCACTCAAAAACTCCCATGGCTCTGACATCACCACCTCCTCCACAGGACCAGGGATGCAGCAAGGACAGACCCCATTCCCCTCAGAACATCTTCCCAAATCCCCCAGGAACTTCCTCTGACTCCCTTCATACCCGAAAAAGTGGCTCCTGAGGAGGGGATGGATTGACCTGGGGCTGTGCACCCTACTTAGTGCCTGGTGGCTCAGCACCCAGCTTATCCCCTGAGCCTCCCAGGGGGGTTAATCCACGCAGGGTTACGTCAGCTGGAGCAGGTGCCATTGTGACAGCCACTGCCACTGTGCCCAGGTTGGGACATGGGATTGCCATCTGCATGGCCAGAGATAAAGGTGCCACTGGGGAGGGGAGATGTCCTCTTCCCAGCCAGACACTTGCAAAGGGATGGGAAGCCATGGGAGGGGGTGAAAAAGGGCAGCTGGCACAGTGGGAGATGGAGCTGGAAAAGCTAGGCAGAGATTTTGGCTGGAACAAAAAAATGGGCTCAAAAGGAAGGAAAAAAAAAAAGAAAAGGGAGACAAAGAGGATCTGTCTGCGTTACACAACGGGGTTGGGGACACTGAATCGGGGTTTGTTGCGGTGTGCCCCCCCAGTGCTAACAGCACGTCCTCCTGCCACTGCCCTGGCTTGTGCCCCAAAGCCCAGTACATGGAGGAAAAGGTTTCAGGGCTGTTTTGCAATAGGCTCCTTCCCTTCTGTCAGCTTCCTAGTGTTTTTAACTCTTTATATAAACACTTTTTTGCCCTATAAGCAAAGCCAGAGGGACCAATCCTGCACCCTGCCCCACAGAAATAGCCTAAACAACCGTGCCCAGACACAGGTGGCCAGCTGCCCTGACTCTCAGAGCTCCCCCAGGCGAATCTTTTTCCGAGGCACCGTCAGATTTAAAACGCGAGCTGTGTGTGTGTGGAGGGGGGTGGCTGGCTTTTTTTCAGGCTGGTGAGTTTGCACAAGGTCCGTTCAAGGTCCCATGGGAGCAGCCCGCTTTGGCTCACACGGCCCTGACGAGCCTGCCCAGCCACCCGTGGGGAAGAGCAGTGGAGCGGGGTGTCTGGGGCCACAGCAGAACACGCCTGCCCAGTCGAGGCAGCGTGGGCACACGGGTGTTGAGCGGGGCTGCCCACGCCCCAGGGATAGGTTCGGCCGTGTCGCCGTGACGGGTGGTGCGTGGGGTGTGGGGATTTCTCACCCCGCCAGGACCAGCAAACCAGCCACCCCAGAAAAGCCCAAATGGGGCAGGGGTGCAGCCCTGCACCTGGGAGCTCCCATTTTGGGCTAGCATCACCCACGCCCTTGGCTGGCAGCGTGGGCTGAGGGCTGCCCGTGCTGGGCACGGCTGAGGAACCCCAGGGCTGAGGTGTCTGGGGACCAGGTCCCGGTGGGCAGCAGAGTGCGGATGGACTCTCACCACCGCTCCCTCCAAAATGATGAAAATAAAAGAAAATTTTAAAAAAAGGAATATGCCTGTGGCGGTAATAATAATAAATAGCAACAATGATGATGATAAAGAAGAGGTCCCCAGAGGCCGGGGAAGCGGTGGCTGCCCCCCTCTCCGCGGCGGCGGGCGGGGCGGGGCGGCGGCGGGGGGGTCCGGGGGAGGGCGGGAGGAGGGTGCCGCCTTCCCCCGCAAAACAAAAGGGAGCGGCGGCGGCGGCGAGAGCGGCCGGGAAGGACGGAGGGGATCGCTCCCCGCTGCGCGGCACTTGCCGGTGGGTTTGCGAGGGGGACGGCGCGGCGGGGGCAGAGCCGGGGGCTTGCGGGCGGGCCGGCTCCGAACCGGGGCCTTGGGGGAAAATGTGTGGGGTCGGGGGCGCGGAGGGGCCGGGGGCAGCCGCTCCACGCGCGGGCTGTCCGCGGAGGGGAAAGGAGGCGAAAGGGTTTATCGGCCTGTGCGGGGGGGCGGCTCCATCCCGGGGCACCCACGGCCGCCAGCTGGGGACGGTGTTCGGCGTGGGCCGGGACCCCTGCCACAGGGGTGGGGTCCCCGCCAGTGGGATCCCGCTGGCTGCGTCCCTCCAGGGACCCTGCCGCTGACACTTCCCTCTCTCCCCCGCCCTCTCCCCACCCCCAGGTGAGCCCAGCTCCCCTCCGTGCTGCCGCCATGTCCCGCCGCAGCCAGCGCCTTGTCACCACCCGCTATTACCCCGGGGACGAGGATGCCACGACCAGCAGCAGCAGCAGCACATCTCTGCTGGGTGGGACACAGCTCCCCTTCAAGGAGACCACCGGCAGGTCAGTGGGGAGCACGAGTGGGGGGCTCCCCCTGCCCCGATCTGACAGGGGCGGGGCATTCCATCCCGCATCAGGGACCAGGCACCTTCCTGCGTGGGGTGTGGGATAGCTGGCGAGAGGGAGCGTGACGGTGATCCCGCCGCGTTCCGGCATGGCCGCCTTGGTACTGGCGGTGCCGCTGCTCCAGCCAAAGCCCCGCACTCCCGGCGCAGGCACCTCCGCGGGCCCGGCCCCGAGCCTGCCTGGGTGGCCGGGTGCCAGCTCCCAGCTCCCAGCTGCGGCTGGGTGGCGAGAGGCAGGAGGGAGGGAGGGAGGGAAGGAGGAGGGAGGTGCGCTGCGAGCGCCGGCCGGAAAACCGCAGCGGTGCGAGCGGAAGCGATGCCCGGGACGGGCGGGAGGCCTCTGCACAGCGGAGCTTGCACGCTCCGAAAGCTGCCGCCATCCGGTGCGGAGCGAGTGATGCTGATTGAGGGATTGGGGTGAATTCCCCGTTTCTCCCCATGAGTGCGCTGTGAGCCGCCCCATCCCGTAATCACAGGTGTCTGATGAGCCTGTTCTTACCTCCCGCAGGACGATCAGGAGGAAATCGAGTAGCACAAAGCGCCTCTCTCCCACCCCCAGCACCCAAACCTCCTACTATAGCGAGTCCATGATGAGCGAGTCCTACCTGGGGGGCAGCCGGGGCCTTCCTGCCCTGGGTCGCTCCCTGCTGGATGATGACCTGGACAGCAGCACTTACTGGGGTGAGCCCTCCCACTCTCCTAGGGCAGCTGGGGACCTCCCTGGGCACTGGAGAGTGTTGGGGCAACTGCCCAGGCTGGCTGGCTGGCTTGCCCCTTGTGGAAGTGATGGTGGTGATTTTTCAGTGGAACTCTGTGTTTTGGGGCAGGTGGAGAGCTCTCCACCAGGAGGAGAAGAGGCACAGGGGACACCGAGTCCAGTAAGATCAATGGGGTGCTAGAGAGCAAGACGTATGACACCTACACATCTTCATCTGGGTACTCCTCGGAGGATGACTATGCTGGTAGGGATGCACTAGTCTGTCTGTAGTGGCAGGAATGCAGGGAAGGCATCCCCAGGGGGACCAGTACAGGGCCTGGCTGTACCCAAGTGTGCTGCCAGTCCCCACTAGATGCCACCCCCGGTGCAAAGCCTTTGCTGTGGGCAATGCACTGAGATGCTGTCTGCATTGGTGACTTGCTGCTTCCTTTCCAGGTCACTATTACTCAGGCCAGAGTAGCTCTGGGTCAGGTCTGAGAACTGCAGCCTCCCGGGTGGGCTCCTTCCTCTGGCAGGTCTTCACCTCCCCAGGTGAGTGGAGGGCTGGCAGGGGCACTTCTAGCAGCAGTGTTCTTGCCAGTCAGCATCCCTACTCTCCAGGTGCTGTGTGTGCTTTTCCCTGTTTGGGTGGAGGGGTTTTATCCCCTTGTGATGCCACCCTTGGGCATGGAGGGGACATGTCTGTCAGGACTCCTCCCGAGGCTTGTTTTTCTCCTCGCAGTTCAGCTCTTGAGGTGGCTGTTCTCGGGGCTGGCAGGGGCCTGGCGCCGCCTCACTGGCACAGCTTCCCACCTGGACAATGTCCCCTTCTCCAGGTGAGTGTGCTGGGGGGGACACTAGGATGGGGGAAGCATGGGGAAAACCTGCAGGACCCTGGAAAGGGGAGGCATATTTGGGGCGGTGGCTGTCTTGTCATCTTTGTTTTCCCTCTGGCCCCCATCCAAAGGTGATCAAAGGTGGCTGCAGTCCTACAGTCACCTCTCTCTTCTCTGTGCTCCAGGCGCTACCCACGTCTGAAGAGGTCCCTGCTGCTGCTGCTGCTCCTCCTGCTCCTCGCTGCTGCCGCCTACGGTGAGCCACCTCCCTTGATGTGCTGCCCTGAGATCTGGGGCAGTGCAGAGCCTCCCACTGCCATAGCTGGGGGATGGGATGGCCTGGAGCTCACTGCTCATGGCTTCTCGTAACCTGGTCCATCTGCATCTACGTGCCAATGTCTCCTGGTAATCCTTGGAGATGCTGATGGCTGAGCCTCTGCATGTCCACCTTGTCCACTACTGTGGCCCATTACCAGCCTGTGGTTTTGACCATCTCATCCTTCTGTGTCCAGGAGCTTGGTACTTCTACCCGTATGGGCTGTCAACACTCAGCCTGCCTTCCTTCCCATGGTGGGGAGCTGGAAAGCTTTCCTCCTCCTCTGATCTTCCTGGGGCAGGGGACCTGACCACGCTGGACCAGGTAAGCTTCAGCAAAGACATGGTGGTGGCCCAGGTGAGATGAGTGCCTTGCAGGGAGAGCTGGGATGGTATGATCCATGGCTGAACAATTGCTTCCAGGGTATGAGGAATAATGGAGAACGGGGCATGATGGCTACACACTGGCTCCCCCAGCTTGTGGCTATCTCTCTCTTGGGGTGTCCTGGGGATGGAGCAGGGGGAGCTGCCTTCTGGGAAGCAACAGATGAATAAGATGTCACTGACTGGGGAATGGGTGGTGAGGGTCCCCTTTCACAGGAGTCCTGTGGAGCAAGCACTTCCCTGGAGGGCTGCAGCACACCCTGATTTTGTCACTGCAGGGGGAACACCGACTCCTGGCTCGCTTCCAGTCCTTGGAGAAGCGCTTTGAGGCACTGGAGGCCGAGCTGTCACGGTGGGAGCTGCGGCGTGGGGCAGCAGCAGTGACAGCAGGGGGAGAACCACCCCCGGGGGACATCCTTGCACTGCTGGAGGGGCTGGTGAGCCGCCGGGACGCGGGGCTGAAGGAGCATCTCCACACCGACATGGCCAACCACCTCCAGGTGAGTGACACGGGGAGTGCAGGGAGATGGGGTGGGCAGGGCCAGGCTCTGATATTCCACCCTGTTCCTTGTCCTTCAGGGTGAGCTAGATGTGCTCCGAGCCCAGGTGCAGAGGGATTTAGATGGGCGCCTGGGCAAGATGGCACAAGCTTCCCAGGTAAGCAGATGAGTGTGTGGTGGTACCTGGACAGGACACCCTCAGCAGTGGTGTCACGAGGCTCACCCCTTCCCCTTTTCCTGGTAGGAGATGGAAGCGCGCTTGCTGGAGCTGAACTCGGAGTGGCAGAGGTAACACTGGCTGTGGGGCAGGGCCATTGCTCTGCTGGGGGCAGGCAGCTGGGTGAATTGCCCTCAGCCAGGCTTAGGAGGGATTTACAGGCCTGGCTGGGGACAAAGGAGAGATTAAGAGGCATAGTCTGGGGGGAAAAGGATGGAAGGATGGATGGATACATACGTGGGTGTCTGTGGGAGCCAGCACTGTGCCCTTCTGGCCAAAATGGCCAGTGGTATCCTAGGGTGCATCAGGAAGGGCATTGTCAGTAGGCTGAGGGAGGTGATCTTGTCCCTCTACCCAGCCTTAGTGAGGCCACCTCTGGAGTGCTGTGTCCAGTTGTGGGCTCCTCAGCACAAGAGAGACATGGAGCCCCTAGAGCAGGTACAGGGGAGGGCTGTGGAGATGATAGAGGGACTGGGGAATCTCTTCTATGAAGAAGGGCTGAAGGAGCTGGGCTTGTTCAGCCCTGAGAAGAGACAACTGAGAGGGGACCTCATCAATGTCAGTGGCTGAAGGGAGCGTGGCAAGAGGTTGGAGCTAGGCTCTCCTCAGTGTTGTCAAGCAATAAGATAAAAGGCAATAGCCATAAACTGATGCACAGGAAGTTCCACCTGAATGTGAGGAAGAACTTCTTTACTGTGCAGTGATCACTGGAACAGATTGCCCAGAGGGGTTGTGGAGTCTCCCTTGCTGGAGATAGTCCAGAACTGTCTGGATGCAATTCTGTGCCGGGTGCCTTGGGATGATCCTGCTAGAGGAGGGAGGTTGGACCAAATGACCCACTGTGGTCTGTTCCAACCTGACCCATTCTGTGATTCTGTGGCTGGTGGCAGGGCTCCAGGAGCAATGGCAGCAAATGACCTTTGCTACTGTTGTTTTGCATCACTGTGAACGTGGTCCTTCAGCTGAGGGGTGAGCTGAGGATGCTTTCCAATGGGATGCAATAGAAGAGGTCACTGCCACTGGAATTAAAACTGGATCTGGAGATGGGATTGACCATAGGTGACGTGGGATGAACCTCTTCCTCCAGTTTGCAGAGGGGAACTGGGCCTATTGGCTCGAGGTTTTGTTACCTTTCTCTTGGCACAGCTCAGTACAGGAGAAGCTGCGAGGGACCTTCCAGCAGGAGGTGGGCAAGCTGGAGCAGGAGGTGGCAGCG